TCTTTCCAAATTATCCCAGATCCTCTCACGCTTTTCTTCTCTCAATGACCAACGCAGATAAATCCAACTTTAAATGCAATATATAGGAAACAATAATTCCAAAAGAAAAAATCCTAATATTTATTTTCAAATCAAAATATAGATTTTATCTAAATATATATATATTTTATTCAGGAATTGCTATTATATGTCACCCTTTTCAAATTATCCCAGATCCTCTCACGCTTTTCTTCGCTGAATGACTAACGTAGATAAATCCAACTTTAAACCCAAAGTTCCCTCTTCCGAGCCGATTTTCTTGCATCGACAGTGTCCGAAGGAATTACAGGGAAAAATTCGAATCCCACCTCCAGCCGTTATCAGCCGATCCGTTTTTCCTGCAAAAACGGTGACCCGGATCAGCGCGATTTTCCGGTTATTATGCATTCACGGTGGAGCAGCGACACTCGGTGATGGATGAGTCCCGGGGCGAGGCGCGAATTATCTGTTTCGGGGCGAATCCTAAGACGTCTGCCGGTTTTCCAATGATTTACGAACATATTTTATAGGAGAACGGCCGACGTGTCGCCTCTTAATCCAGCCTCTTTCCGCGTTTGATTTATACGCGCTTAATTTCGCCCACGGATGAAAATTCAACCGGTGAAATCGATTACATCCACCGACGAAGAGTTACAGTCCCTCTGTCAGGAGACAGAGCGACGGATATCTTTGGTGCGGAAGGTTCACGCGAACCGGAAGCAGCGGATTTTTCCCGTGAAAATGCGTATCGATCAGTCGGGTAGCGACAAGTGCTCGTTGTCTTGTTGGGATTTCTTAAGGCGAGTTTTAATCGAGAGTGCAGGGCGTGGTGTTGGGAGACTGTTGTTGATCTTGGTGTTTTCTGAGCTTTGTGTTAGTTTAATTGAAATATGGGAATGATAGATTGGGAATTTGATACAGTTTATCAGTGTAGAGTGATTCGTTGACTTTTTGGAATTTTTTAATGTCCGTTTGGGAATTCTAATCGAGGGTGCAGGGTGGTTAAATGATTATGAGTGGTGTTAGAGATTCCTGTGTTCTGTGTGAATTTTGTGATAAGGGATGAAGGCTTCAAAATTTATTTAACACAATTTTATAGCGATTGCTGTGACGATGGTCGTTGTTTTAATTTCCTAGCATCGTGTTTAAGGTGTTTTCTTTGGGTATACAGGGTGCAGTGCATATTCTATTATGTGTCAGTGAACATCTAGCATATTCTATTTCAAGAGGCTAAAATAAAAGGAAAGAAAGTCGTAAATGCTACTGTTAGCGCTATGTAAATTGATAATTATGACTGTACTTTTAATAATATCAATTAAAACGTCATGGATATTAATTATATTGCAGGGAACTAATTATAATAGGTATCGGCTAATATGTCACTCTATATAAATCTATTAGTATATGCCAATTATTAAACGTAACTTCAAAGTAACACATAAATGGTTGTCAATAAATCAAGCCTAGATAATGAGCATAAATTTTAAGCAATCTAATTTACTCAGAAAATTCGGGAACGGTACATAAAAGTATCCAACAAATAACACGTTAAATATTCATACCTATAAATATACCATATGTTTCAAGATTATTCTCTCGTAAATCTCTATCAAAAAAAACATCCCAAAAATTCTACCAAATTTTACCGAGATAGCGTCACAAAAATTACCATGTCACCCCTATATGTAACTAAAATTCGATCACCCGTTATATCTATATATTATCCATCTAACTAACACACCTTGACCAAACCTCTCCTACCAGTGCAGGAAAGACAAAATTCCAAGGAGTCTTTAATTCCACTCTTACCCTAACTTCTTCTCCAAAGCATCTAGATTACTTTTAGGTACTCGTCACCTTGCACGATTCGTCTGTCAACACATTTCGTGAGGAAATTATCGCTGGCCTCGGAAATACGCGTGAATATCGCGAAGGAAGCTCGCGATTATCTTCGAATCGGGCCACAGAAACCGCGTTCTACCTCTAAATGGGCCACGTAATTACGACGATCAATTAACGAACGATTAACACCGCTCTCCGGCGAACAAACGAGCGAACAAGCAAGCTGATTAACCGCACGCGAGCCATACATGCGCCTACAAAGGGCTCTTTCTGTTTTCCCTATGCCCGTGCACGCATGCGATTCCTGGCCACCGTTAAAACGGCTCAGTGTATCAAGATGTCCACGTGATGATCTGGATCGGATTCGGCTTCCTCATGACGTTCCTCAGGAGATACGGTCAGAGCGCCATCGGACTCACGTTCCTCCTAGGCGCCATTTTGGTCCAAGTCGCCATAATCTGCGAAGGCGTCGTGCACATCGGCAAGGACAACAAGTCTTACCTATCCTTGAAAAGGTTCGTGGAAATTTCATTACGCTTATTTCGATATAATTGTTAATGACAAAGATTATTATTATATACAGTGTGTACCAGCAACGATAGTAAAAATCATAAGGGGGTGATTTTACGTGAAAGAGCAAATCTTTTAAAAGAGCGAATAAAATCTTTTAAAAATTGGCTTTGAATATTCACCAAGTTCACGTGCAATTAACAATGTCTTAGATGAATAAATCATCAATGTATCAGTATTGGTGATATAATCGAGATGAAGTTGATTCTACGTGAAAAAACAAGTCGAAAATAAAGAATAACATTTTTTCATTTGTAGTCTCGTTATGAAGGAAATTGACTTTGAATATCTACTGCGTACGCGTGCGCTTTGGCTCAGGCGAAGATGGGCCATCAGTAGACCAGCGTACCCGCTGAATATTCAAAGTCGATTTTCTCGATAACGAAGCTTCGAATGAAAAAGTTTTATTCTTTATTTTCGATTTGTTTTTTCGTGTATAATCAGCCCTCCTCGGTTGGAGCATAGATACTGATCCATTGATGGTCTATCTATCTAAGCCTTAGTTAAGTACACGTGTACCTACTCGGTGAATATTCAAAGTCGATTTTCTCGACAACGAAGCTTCGAATGAAAAAGTTTTATTCTTTATTTTCGATTTGTTTTTTCGTGTATAATCAGCCCTCCTCGGTTGGACCACAGATACTGATCCATTGGTGGTCTATCTATCTAAGCCTTAGTTAAGTACACGTGTACCTACTCGGTGAATATTCAAAGTCGATTTTCTCGACAACGAAGCTTCGAATGAAAAAGTTTTATTCTTTATTTTCGATTTGTTTTTTCGTGTATAATCAGCCCTCCTCGGTTGTACTACCGTTGCTGGGACACTATGTATATTGAGAATTATTTGGACGAAATTTGTCGTTTCACGAGAGTGTATTAACTTCGAATCCTTTTCCTAAATTTTATTTCGGATTTGACTATATCACGTTATTTCTAAGGAAAAAATTCGATGAATATTCTTTTAAAGAAATGTTTGAAAAATTAAAATAATGGTAAAAAATTTAAAACAAAATTTTAGGAATAGAAATTTGATAAGACAGGAAATTTCTATTCCAAATGTGAATATAATTAAATGCATTGTTTTAGCTACGATCACTATGATTTATCGATGGCAACAAACTGTTTAAAATTTTGTTAATTTATTAACAGTCGCACGAACTTATCGAGAGAACCGGATGGTCTGCTCGGAAATCGGAGATCGTACCGAAAAATCGTCGGAATTTTATTCGGTATTCCGTTAAAATAATTAAACAAAAACTTGCGTCATAAAGTTCGCAATTTGAAAGTCCCGAACGAATCCCGCGAATTACTAACCTCGGCTAATCCACGAGCTCGTTTTGAAATTTTGAATTACAAATTCCGTGGATGACAGAATTATAAATGGTGATTGGTTCCCTGGCTTTGCAAATATATGTAACAGGAACGCCGCTAAATTTGCATAATAATTTGAGAAACAGTGGAAAAAAGCATTTAACGAGACAGGAATACGACCTGCGAGTAAAATAAAGAAAAAAAAAAAGGAATTTCATTAAATTCCGCATACTCCCCTTTCTCGTGAAAAGGATCGAATATTTCGCAACTCGGACATTTCGTCTGCGAAATCGAAATTTAGTATGCAGGATGGAATATATCCGTGAATGATAATTTTCCAGGGCTGGAAATGGGAAATAGCTTCGAATGATTTAAATCGAAACGAGAACGCAGAAACGAGAAAGATTTTCGCAAGGATCACGAGAGTGGAGAACGCTCCGAGGGGCAGAGACTAACGAGAGCGAAAGTAATTACTCTCGCGGCTAATTATGTCGTTGCATTCACAATGAGGATATTCTGAATCGTTGAAAACTTCCTCGCTTGACCAGATTTCACTCGGAATTAGCACGAAATTAACGCCGTAAGCAAGCTAATTGAAACATATAATATTCATTAGGCGACTTTTCTGAAAACTCAATTAACTCCCCGTTTCTTCAACAGCATCGCTTTCATACACCTTTTCTGTCATTTCAATTTCAAATCTTAAGAAGAACGCCCGCCTTTTCGTATGCCTCTCTCCATTAAATAATTAAAACGCGCTTGAACATTCGTATTTCTACTAACAAGGGTCATATTAATTTCTTCTCCTTATATTTCACGCAACAGCTACTTTTGATATTTTCTTAAATGATTTTCATTAAGCAATCTGTTTAAAAATTAGGGAAAAAATTTGTTGCTAAAAGAATTTTAAAAATTCCCAAAGGATTGCTGAATAATAATAAAATAGTTGCTGAAAGATTAGTTACAAATCTCGTTAAAAGGCTTGATCCTCTTCGAGAGTTATTGCAGTCGACTATGGGAGGTTTTACGAAAACAACTATTAAATTAAGCAAATTGCTTGGAAGCATGGTATCCATATTGTAGGAGCGTACGAAATTCTTTGGTTTGAGAAATTTTCTGAACACTAAATAGTGCACCAGACAGCTGCAGAGATTTGTGATACACTTTGGTGAATTACTCCCGTGTTACACAAAATTGAAAAATGTCTAGGGAGTTTCCAACATATCTTACAAACTTCCAAACCATTGTAAGAACATTGCGAGTTAGTAGAAGCTTCCTCAAGACGATGTCGATCTGCAGATTTATTACACAAAGTTGCGGCGTGCTCGAAAGCATTATAGATACCCTAGGTACTCTAGGAGGTTTAAAATATGTCGGAATAACACGAAATTCCCTAGAAAGTGTTCTCGATTTGCGAAACTATTCTAAATTATCCTATTCCACTCTTAAACGTTCTATAAGCATGCGAAGTACTGTAGAATAGTATCGTAGACCATTCCACGACAATGTACCGAAGTAATGGTGAGATATAATGTAGAAATTCCCTAGGGATTCTTTCCGATTTGCAGCAATACCTGGTGTTATTCCAAGTGACAGTAGAATGTTGTGTACGCTTGCAAAATATCCCGGAACATGCTATGACAGGTCATAGTTGCGAAATAATGGGATAGTATAACATAGAAATTCTCTAGGGATTTGTTTCGATTTGCAACAATGTTTCGAGTTGTCTCGCGTAGCGCCAAAATGTTGCGTGAACGTGCTCCACGATGTTCTGAAACATTCTTACAATTCCCATAAGTAGATAAGTAGAACGTACGATAATAGCACACCTGATACAAAAATTCCCTAGTCAGTCTTCTCGCTTTTCGAAGACGTTTTCAATCGTTTCGAACTGTTTTAAAACGTTCAATGGCTTCCAAAGTGCCAAGGTAATGCCGCATAGCAACGCGAAGCTTTTCTAAAGTTTCTGCTTCGAAATATCCTTGCAGCAGAATTGGGGACAATCCTGAAGGGTTCCAGAACAGTTGGCAATATTAAAAGCCCAAGGACAATTTTGGAAAGTATCTTGCAGCTTCTAAAAACGATTCCCGTGACATTTACGACACTGGGCGAAGTTTCTTCCGTCTGCCAAAGATCTTCCAGCCATTCCATCCGAAGTATCTTCCGACCCTACAAGCATCTATGGCAGCGAGCAATATCACAGAGCATTATAAAGCTTCCCGAGTGGTTTTGCGATCTGTAATAATCTTCCACAAGGCAGCAAAGCGTACAATCACTTCAAACGAACTTCCAAGGCCCTCTGCTAAAATACTTCTATTAATTCCACGTTTCTACTTTACCTCTTCTAATCGACGACTGCGCCATCGCTCGAGTTAATTACTGGCTAATTACGCGGTACTATTTCGACTTTCGACATTTCTAAATACTTCCATGTATAAATGAAATTGTCGAATATGTTTGAAAACTTGAAGAAAAGTTGTCTCGAAATTTACTAGAGAAAATTGTCCAAATTCGCAATGGTTTACAAGATGGACGCTGGGCCTCGACGCCATAAGCATGTTACGATATTAAAAAGAACACTCTAATTACACGGTATCGTCTCGAGACTGAATATTTTCAAACACTTCCATGCCTAAAAAGAATTGTAAAATATTTTAGAAAAATAGGATGAAGAGTATCTCGAAATTTACTAGAGGAAATCGTCGAAACTCTCGTTCACAAGATGGCCGCTGGGTCTCGACACCATAAGCATGTTACGATATTAAAAAGAACACTCTAATTACACGGTATCATCTCGATATTGGATATTCTCAGTCTCTTCCATGCATAAGAATTGTAAAATATTTTCGAAAAATAAGATGAAGGGTATCTCGAAATTTACTAGAAAAAATCGCCAAAGTTCTCGTTCACAAGATGGCCGCTGTACCATGACGTCTTGGGCATGTTACGATATTATAAAGGAACATTCTAATATTGTGATTAATTATCTCTGATATTTCTAGATATTTTCACCCACGGGAAAATTTCGAAATATTTTTTTAATAACTCGAACGAAAGATACTTGGAAGTGAACGAGAAAATATCGCGGAAGCCGTGGCTGTAACACAAGATCGACGCTGGTCTGGACACCCCGACAGCGCCACGATATTCGAAAAAAAGCATCGGACACGTACATACATATCGGAAACAAATAAATTCGTAGCAGTCCAGGTAATATACACATCAGGTCTGCATTGGCGGAAAGTCCGAGGATATTTTTGCAGCCGCCGCGGCGAAATATATTCGAACCCTGCCGATGCACCATTGAATGCCAAAGCCAGCTTGTAGGATTGTGTTTACCTGATGCATGAATAGTTGATAAGCCGGGGAAAAAAGTATGCAACGAATACACTCTCTGTTTCGAATCCTCTCTTTTCCACGTTTCGTCGGGCCTCGAATTCACGCTGGTCCATCGCGCTGCAGGAAAAATGCTCCGCCTCGGATAACGGCTCGTTCGAATTTTCCGAAAAAGAGATGATCATAAAAATGGAGCATCGCGGTTTCTCTGTTTGCCGTTGTAATTACTTTTGCATGTCGCTGCGTTATTCCCTCGCCTTTTTTTCCTAGCTGTTTAATCGTGTTCGATCACTCGTAAACGTATCGAAGAATATCTTTGTTTTTGGAAAAATATCTATCATCGAGCACGAGATTAATTACTAATTTCTGAATCTTTTACTATCTTGCTGTCGCAACACGCTTAATCGATGCATAATTTTTCCATCGAAACACGTCCGCAATAAAATTGTAATAAAAACTAAAATAAACGCCTTGTATAAGAAGAAATTAATTAATTCGACAAATGAGAGGATCGAACGTATACGAGACCTCGTTAGAATCTGAACAAAATTCAACGTCCCGAAACCAAAACCAGAACTATAAAAAAGGAGAAAAGAAAACATAACCTAACTCCAGAATAAAAGACCCTGCATAAACTCCCATGACGAAGCTCTACATCTCAAAAGAAAAACTGACAAAAAAGGAAAAAGAAAATGAGAAACTCGTTCAACAAGACTCAAATTAGAAAAGACAGAAAGAAAAATTAACCCTTTGCACTCGAGAGGCGACGACTAGTCACCATTAGGCGACAATTTCATAAAATTTGGAAGATCGATATTAATTGATATGTCAAATTTAAGATAATATAACAAATAATTCTACGTGCTCAAAAAAGTATCGTCAGCGTTACACCAAAGAATCTTTTGATATCTGCTCTTCCCTAGCCAAACAATCGTCGAGTGTAAGGAGGTTAAAAAGCAAAACCTAACCTCAAAATAAGAGCCCAGCACGAGCTCTCCCAACGAGACGCAACATCCCCAAACGAAAGCCAAATAAAAAGGAGCAAAGGAAAATGAGAAAAGAGAAAAGGAAGCCACAACTTATGTTGCCTGGCAGAAGCAACCGGGGGAATCGTCAGCGCGGCTAAGTCCGCGCGAACGAACGAGCTGGATATCACGTCCGTGTTCCGGTTCCGTGATCCGACCTGTTTGCATAGCAGTCGAGAACGCGCATCCATGTTATGAATACTGATCTCCGGTTTTCGGGCGACTAGCAGCCGGTTAATAACGCTCGTATCGATCAACCCACGTGGCCACTTTCAGCCTGCTGAGCGCGGACGTTGCGGTGGCCACGCCGTTGATATCCATGGGCGCTGTGCTCGGTAAGACGACCTACATGCAGCTCGTGTTCATGGGCATCCTCGAGCTGATCATGTTCACCGTGAACAAGTACGTGGGCGAGCATCTGCTCATGGTAAGTTCACCCCGTCCTCCGCGTAACGCGTTTACGCGGCCGTCACGCTCGATCTTCCAGCGCCGGGCAAACGTTTCCGGTATCGAGCGGAAACCACCGAGACTTTCCTTCACCTGGCATCTCCATGCTGATGGCTGGGCAAAGCGAACGCCGGAAATTGGCTGATGGGTAAGGGTGCAGGGGTTGGGCTGCTGGATTTTTTAATCTCTGCTAATGGGCTAACGCCGTTCAGCTAGCCGAGGAGTGGGGGTTATTAGTTCGTTTAAAGGCGGTTAGAGGTAGCAGTTTTCAACGGGTAATGGGGTACTGCGTGTATACGAGGTAATTGGGGAGTATTTTGGGGTAAAGAGACGGGGTTGCAATTGCAAAATTCGGAACGTTTATTTATTCTATTTCGCCGGATTTTAGTGTCCTATTATATTACTATATTTACTATGTAAGATGATTGGTGAAATAAATCTTTTAAGGGGGTTGAGTCATATTGGGGTTCTACGTGTATACGGGATAATTGGGGAGTATTTTGGGGTAAAGAGACGGGGTTGCAATTGCGAAATTCTGAAGGTTTATTTATTCTATTTCACCGAATTTTGGTGTCCTATTATACTATATTTACTGTGTAAGATGATTGGTGAAATAAATCTTCTAAGGGGATTGAGTTATATTTGACAATTTTCAGTAAATATCGAAGAAATCGATATCTCGAGAGGTGCGATCGTGAGCATAATATCGTTCGAGTTTGTAACATTAAACGTACCAAGTGTTATATACCACGGAGGGTCATTTGACCCTCTATGGTAAGAATAGGTGTGTATAAAATAGCGGTACGTTTAGTGTTAAACGATGTCTGAATAGAATTAGCGAGTTACGAGTATTGGTAATTAGAAAAGTTGCGATAGGTATTCGCGATGTTGAGGAAGAAAGAGAAGAAGAGGAAGTAAACTATGGAGTAATCGATATTCAAGAATGTACGTCGAAAACGAAGGAACCCGATCACGGTATTAAATTTCTACAAAAATCTCGGCGAGTGTCGTTAAAACTCCGACGACGTGCATTAAAGCCACTGTTTTCATTGAACGCTTGATACAACCGTAAACATGATATGAATTACTCGTAACCGAAGCATGTTTTCGCAGTATTTCGTATTGTTTCGAGACCCGGAGCATATTTACTTTTGCCATTATCGATTTTATTTTCAATTTTTCCCTTGACTCACTCGAAAAAGACACGAGGTCTCCATTAAATTGCAGCGTTTATCGACGAAGGTATCGTTACCGTGCGAAACGCGTGCTGAAATGAATAAAATGCAAATAGAAAATCAAATCGAACGCGTCCGAAGAGCTGAAAATTTTTAGATCATTTCAAATGTACGACACGTTATGGGATATTATTTTTAATTTATCTTTCCGCAGGTTGTCGATGCTGGAGATAGCATGTTTGTTCACGCATTCGGAGCCTATTTCGGACTCGCTGTCAGTTTCGTATTAGGAATGAAGGGCAGGCCCAAGGAACATCATCTCGAAGGACCGTCCTATAACTCCGATATTTTTGCCATGATCGGTCTGTCTTTTAATTTCTCTTACATCCCAGTAATTAATCTTCCAGATACCATAACGAATTAGGTAAAAGATTCTAGAGAATTTCACAATTTTTTTGCAAGTGACGATTACGATATACGACTTCGAATTTTTCGGAATTTAATTTCAAACTCTACGAAATTTAATTCCGAATTAAAGATTAACCTATTCAGAGAGAGCTACGAAAAAGATACTGACGAATTTCACGATTATTTCGCAATTGACGATTATGATAAACAATTGCGAATTTTTTGGAATTTAATTTCAAACTCTGCGAAATTTAATTCCAAATTAATAACTAACCTATTCAAAAAAAACATTAATCACCTCCGCTAAAGGATACGCAAAGATAGTTCTACAACCCCAGAAAATACGACGACGAAACTAAAAGTAGCCTCTCGCACAAGCATCCGACATAATTCCAAAAACTAGCTCGCGAAAATTCCTGAATACAGCCGGTGGCGGAGAAAATAATCGACGCGCTGCCAAACTGAAATTCGCGCCCAAGGAAAGTTGCTAAACGACACCGTATACTTAACCGTCTGCCGACGCCGGGGGGTTAATTACCGGAAGCAAAAATTTCACACGGTCCAAGAACTGCTCTACCCTCGACCTGCGTTCCCTCTCCTTGGCAAGAAAAATAAAATCGGCCAACTTCCAAAAACTCCGTCCTCGGCATCCCTGGCTCCACCGGAGAGCCAACCCAAACACGTTGTAGCCACGTCCTCAAACACCCTGTCCTGCACCGTTACCGCGAATCCAAACACTTGGCCGATATCACACGCGAGGCGTATCTTTTGACGGAAGTGGAGGAATGGAGGACGTTTGGTTCAACAGGCACGGTGTTCCTATGGTTGTTCTGGCCGTCGTTCAACAGCGCCGCCCTCGAAGGGGACGATCAGCAAAGGGCCATTATAAACACCTTTCTGTCGATCTCGGCCAGCTGTGTGATCGCGTTCGCGACCTCCGGCCTGGTCTCGAAGGATAGCAAATTCAACATGGTGCACGTGCAGAACTCGACGCTGGCCGGCGGTGTAGCCATCGGCACCGCGGCAGGTACAAGACGACCTAATTAATCAGAGATTTACATTGGACGGTACCCGTCTGTGCATCTAACAGGGCGACATTTTCTGAATAAACACAGGCATGATGTGCACTCCGGTAGGAGCCTTGATCGTCGGCGCTTTGGCTGGGCTACTCAGCGTGCTTGGATACAAGTATCTCACGGTAATTACACGCTTTTTCAATTCGACTTGTAGGTAAGCAAATGTGCTTATACTTGTCTAACGAATAATCGAGGGCTGGAGTGCATGGTGTTTGATTTGACGTTCGTGTGTTTGGAAAATCGAAGGTAAGTGGCTGTGCAAGGTACTGTACATGCGCGAGGTACATAGTAATTCTGTGATGAGTAGATGGACAATTGTGTTTGAAGAAATGAAATTAAGGTGATTGTGAAAATAGGTACTGTACGTGTGTTACGTTACTTAGATTAATAATGTTAGATAATGTTAGATAATGTTAGATAATGTTGATATAATTGCGGCGCGATTTTCATTTCTCTTCTATTTATATCAAGTTTATAATTTCTGTATTAGTAGAATTTGATGAAACTTTTTAACGCGTTCAATGCGTTCAACGATATTTTTCTACTATTGCAATGGATGGCAGAAGCTCTAGCTACGCTACTGTACGATACTCTTCGCAAAATGTTTTGTTTTGACTTTGTTCTAACGTTACGAAAGCATGTTTTGCCAGGGGTGAAATTATTATCTTGAATTACCAATGAATCGCACCTGTTTCCTAATTTCAAATTAATCTTACTCTTCTACAATTGGAGTTCCTAAAACAAGAAGGTAACAAGATAACGACAAACTCGTTGAATAACCGATAAAGAATTATGATTTAACTAAATCCATATTTCAACTGAAAATAGCGCAAAGATAGAACCAATTCCATCCTCATCCTGCTTTAAAAATATCTTCCATAAAGGTCAAGAAATTTCTCACGATTCTTCTCTCCATTAGTCAAAGTGGAATACTCTCTCTATTTCCCATAAAGGACGACCTCTAATTCCTCCACGATCTTCAATCGACAAATCCGCTTCCAGTCCCTCTGATAATCCTTCGAACCATTTTCAGGGCCATTTTTAATTTTACCCGGAGGACTGTCTCTGACCCCGATTGAAGTAAACCCTGTATTTCTCGAGGTAACGTTAATCAGAGAAGCCACTGGGAATGTGACAACGTAACGTCCTGACAGGATGTTAAATTTAAAGCCAAGGTGAATGGTCTAGCTCGATAATCACGCGGATAATCACGCGGAGGCTCCGTGCAAGTGTTGACGAGTGCCGGGTGAAATTTTTAAGCTGCCAAAGTGGCGGTGAAACTTACCACGGGGTCGTATACGTGGGGAACATAAATTTCGCGGAAAGTGGGTTTCGTCGATGGAACGACGTGCACGTGAAGCCCGGCAAAACGATTATGAATCGCGGGCAAATTAAATTTCACCGGCACGTGATCGGCTCTGACGTCGGTTATCCCCGATGGTTAGCTCGAGCAGGCTGTATCACGTTACTTTCTTATTTCGTTACCGTCCACTGGCCGGATTCTCGTTAATCCGCTGTCAATGCGGCGATTTCGGATGACAGAAGTTCACCCTGCGATTATGTCTTCCATGAAACTTCCTCGGTCGAAGATAAATCGCTCCGCGAGAAAGGACCTTTATTGCCTGGAAATGAGAACCAGAGTGAGAGAGGCAGGGTAGTCTGAGATATTGGAAAATAAAGGAGAACACGCGGATGAATCTACTCACTCTTCCG